TGCTATGACAGGTATCAGAAGAAGTTAGCTTGATGGCTATTACTCATGCTAGAATTAGACTTGGTAAGCAGCTGGCACTAGTGTTAGCAGGAGCACTGGTGGGTGGATATGGTACTATGGTTAGGGATTACAATGCCTGCATAGTTGAACACACACACACACACACCATTATGCTGTGTTTATAGATAAAGCTAGAGTGTATGGTAGGCTGGCTGCCAGTAGTTCATAGAGTGAGAGCATGCAAGCAGGTCACATTCACACAGACAACGACAATAGATAGTCATATGTCTACACCCACATCCTTACACAAATTAGTGAAGAGTGTTTTTCCAAAATATTAACCTATGTGATTCATTAAACAGTTTTCCAAGCATGTCTTTCCTTTTTCCAGCTGCTGTCTGTCTGTACTTGTATGCATGTGTGAGGATGTACTGGACAGGACATTGAGTCCTACTCTTCTGCCACTCCTGCTGAAACAATTTTTTTTCTCCAGCAGTTAGGTAGTGAATCATGGTGCCTGTGATGTGATAAAAAAAATGGAAATACACACTGAACCCAAGTGAACTGAACATTCATTATATCTTCTACTCAATCATGTTGATTAACAGCTAGGGACCTTAAAGGTATGTAGGATTTAATCACATCTAGAGGTGTAGTTGCAGGTCACAGATCCCTGTGCTGCCCCCTCCCCTTCCAAGGCCTAAATGTTACACACTTAACCTTTAACTCTGAATATTATGCATTAGCGTATGCTAATTTAAGATCATGTTCTTCATCAGCATCAGTGTGGTATAGAAGGACCATTTACTGGTCAAACTCATGCAATGTTAGAATTACTAGTACTGCCAATCACACAGACAATCAACACCACTGCTCTGCAGCTCTTTTACAGTATTTTGATCTGCCATATGGCTGGGTCTTAATGCTTCCTATTGGCAATGAAACATGCAAACGCTAACTTGTTACCATGCCCAAAGTACAGCTGGGCTCAGAGAGGTCAACAATGTGTAGAACAGAGTCACAAAAGTGGGGAAAATTATAAATATACAGAGTTGAGCCAGACAAGGTGATTCTGTGGTGCCCTCACAATATGTTTTATATTTTTTGCCTTTTAGTAGTAAAGACAAGAATGGCAAAGTTGTCATCCATCCGTCATCTATCCAACAGATTTTCTGGTGTGTCATGACCATTACTGCCTCCCAGATCAATTAGTGTGGTTATTGTCAATGTGCAGACTTGCTTTCTAAAGTAAATCTAATAAAATATCACATTAAAAGGTTCTGTTTCTCAGTGAAAAATAAGATATGCAGCATGTCAAGAAATATGAATACGAGTAAACACAAACCCACACACACATACTGTAGGTACAACTATTACAGCATTCATGCAGTATTCATTATCTTATTGTGTGATGCACAGACAGCTGCCTCCATCTGCCATTCCACTGTAAGCTGTGAAGATAAAAGAGAAGAAGTAGGGGAAGAAGGGCGAAATAGGCCACATAAATAATGCCTTCCCCCAACTTATCTCACACTTCTCTCCCTACATCTCCATGTGTTCCTGCAGGACAGCGCCACTATGCAGTTCTGTGCCAACAAGCTGGACAAGAAGGACTTCTTTGGCAAGTCGGACCCTTTCATGGTGTTCTATAGAAGCAATGAGGATGGAACGTGAGTGCCTGATGAGATCTTGTTTTGTAATTAATTAATAAAAAAGTGTTTCAAAAGTTAGTTGCAAGTTTTGGTGCTCCCAAACTACTTTTTGAGGAAGCCTCCAGGGACACATGTATTCCACGGAGAAGTAGTCCTGGTGCCCTGAAGTAATTGCCATCAAAAGCCAATCTTAAAACGATAGTTGTGGAATTTTGTGTTACCAAAGCTTTCCATGGTGAAAAACCAAATACTGTCAAATATTAGGTTGCCTTTTTTAAAGCAGGATAAAGTAGCTCCTATGAGAGCCTGGAAAATCAGTTTTGAAGACACAAGAAAAAATCAATTTTAAAGTACAATATCATTAAGGTTATAGTAACATTTGGGAAAAAGGGAGAAGCAAAAACAGAGAGAGCATTAGAGGAGGTATTGCCTGATATCAGATATAATTGACACTCTGACTTTGCCTCCACTCTAACTGATTTCTGGGTGGGAGGGTGATTTGAATTTCCCTAACCTACTACTCACTAGAGATCTATCTGCCTGAATCTAATGACATTTTAAGTCGACACTGATGCGTAGCCTTGCAAACATATAGGGTTTTAAAAGTGGAGTGGAGTGAAGTAAAACATTGTTGGGCGATATTGAGAGGACATGTCAGCTAGGAACAGCCTCAATTGCAACTCTAGCTTGTCTATAGTTGTCGCCATTGTTGTACTTCTCAGTTCTGGCACACAGCTTGACAACACTTGACAACAGCACTAGTCCCCCTGTGGTGCTGACTGGATAATCGCTTTTTCAACCAAGAAACCACCGTTTCATGTCATGATGCCATACCAGAATCAGTCAACTCGGTAGAGAGGGCAGATTCATAGGTCTGGACCCAGGCAAGTACAGTATATTAAAGAGGGATGAGCATATACACACACTATGAGAGGACAGCTTCAGTGAGGCATGCACATATTAAGAGGCTGCACAGGCGCAAGTATCCTATTCCCACTCCCATGACTATGTCTTACATAAATGGCTCCGGGAGAGCAAATAGGAAAGAGAGGCAATTACTGTAGAAAGCATAAAAGCAAAATAAATAAATAAATAACACAATCTGCATTTTCCATCAATAAGAAAAAGACTGTCAGTTTCTGAGGCACTTCACATAGGGATGCATAACACCCACCACATCTCCTCACGCTTTCCCAGAGAGTTGTTCAGCCTCCCAAGGGGATGTGCAGTTGTAGCAGCGTCAGCCCAATCTAGCCGAAGATGCTTTAGCAAGTGCTTCGTTAGCCGTCTTCTAGTTTTTCTCTTTTTTTTTTTTCATAAATAACAGGCAGGGAAAGGGATCCCAACAGATGTGCTAGAACTATCTCTTGTTGGTACCAGAGGGGGGTACAAATTAGAGGCCCGTTTGGCTAGAAGAATCACAGAGCTTTAAAAGGCTTGAGGCACTTAGTGGAGCACAAGTAATCCAAGACTTTGAATTAAAAAAAATAAGTAATAACGCGTTGTTGCTTTTTCGAGAGGATATTTGGGGGATATTTGACAGGTTTTTATGTGGCTTTGCTCTGCAAAACATTTCAGATACCAGATAAATCCATTTGCATATCATTGTGCCACTTGTGGTCAAGGGAAAGGATTTAAAAGCCAAACTAAAATATTAAATTATTCTCTGTGGTCTAAAACACAATATAGCTGGGACACAGGCCAAGCGGTAAACAAAGCTGGGTACAGCCCTATTTTAAAGCATTTCTCCTGTGACTGTAGGATTTGACATTGTCTTTCCGGATGCCTCTGTCTGTTCAGATGTATGCTCCTCCCTTTGTTTCCATATTTATCTCCCTCCCTAGCTTGTATAATTATCAAATAATATCTCTGCCTTTTCTTTTGCACATATCTTTTCCTAACACCCCTCTTCCTTCTCTAGGTTTACTATCTGCCATAAAACAGAGGTGGTGAAGAACACATTAAATCCAGTCTGGCAGCCTTTTACTATACCGGTACGGGCGCTCTGCAATGGAGACTACGACAGGTACAATGAAACCTCCCCCCTGTTACACTGATCCCCACACTGATGTTACACTTATCCTTTCACTGTTGCACTTGGCTCAATTTATCCCCTCTATTTCTACCTTATCATACACACTGTATACTTGCACACACACCCTGAATAGTCAGTAATGTTGGCGCAATTGACATCTTCTGCCTTCATTGATTTCTGTTGGCTCAATTGATCGCCTACCTGCATGGCCTTTAATCAGTATCTCTGACTGACAAACTGTGTACTTACTACACCTTGAGTTTTGATGAGTTTAACCAGCAGGAATCAATACCAGTTCAACATGGTGCATTGTTAAGCCTCCCATTCTGTCTATTGTCACATTATTTCTGTTACTGTGTCCTTAGGATATCCCTTGGTATTGATCTTTGCTATAATAGCACGGGTCAGGCAATGAGCGTCTCTAATCTCCAATGACCTCCTTGTGGTGTGTCTGCTATCAACACTATATTTTCCTCAAGATATAATGTCTGAGTATTATAAATGCATTATTGTAACATTTATATTTAGTTACAGCAGTGTACGTAAACTGACCACTGATCCACAAGATTCCTGTCCTAAACAGCAATTGTCCAGTCACAGTTTAGTAACTTAATATTTCTCCATATGGTGAAACAATGTACATTGGGCTGTAGTAAGACCAGTACTCTGCATTAAATGAGTTTGGACGGTTGTGGTTGGACGATTATTAGTTTTTTATTAGAAAAATACCAGTGTAAAGAATGGATTAAACTGAATGTTTGTCTGCTCTAACGTCAGCTGCAAACCTTGGCATGGCCAACAAACAAGTCTTCAAAGGTCCAAAAATTCTTGCCCGAACCCAAAAAGACCCGGAAACACATCACCTGGAACTGAATCGTTCTGGTTTTTGAAAGTTGGGAACAAGATCTTCATTGAAAATACAAGAACAATGCTGCTTGTTATGGCCTGTACATCAAGTGCATATTAAAATATGTTCATTAGATTCTGCTTTTAAAATTAGTCAGCCAGTGATAGTGTTTTCAACCAGCTCATGGAGCTAACCTTTGCACAAGCTAGCTTTAGCTGATAAAATCTGCTTTTGACAGCTGTCATTTCAGCAAAATCGATGGTTGACAGCTAGAAATTAGACGCCCGCTTGTATCTACCTCTGTCTGAAATCAAGGACCCATTAAAATTACTAAGTAGTCTTGAGTGGAAAATCAGCACGTTATGACTGTAAACCTAATATAAACCTGGAAAGCATTAACAGTTAGCCTATAGGGGAACATGGCTTAGCCAATGGTCAATTGATGAATGTTAGGAAAAGAAAATTGAAAATTGATTAGGGAATAAAATATCAATTATAAGAATGTACAATTCAACAAATATTTTGGAAACTCTATATAATTTGGTCTATTCATCATTTTGGCCCTAGAAAACACTGGATTACATTTCTAACTAAAAATCTAAAATAATGATGGTTTGCTCTTCCCAGTTGGCACATAATTAATGTAGACATGTTGTGTCAGAGGGGGTGGGAATTAATTTTTCCCCCAGCTTATCTGCCTGCCTCTAATGTAAAAGACAGTGCAGGGAAGAAAACAAGCTAAATCATGAAGGAGCCATGAGGGAAGATGAAAAAGGAGTGACAGACAGATTACTTTTGTGGGGGGAAATATTTCATGTGGCATACTGTATCTTTTTTCTGCCACTCCCTCTTTTCTCGTCTCTCTCTCTCAAAGGTGTTTGTCCTATCTTCTTTGTATGCAGTCAAACTCTAATTACTGAGAATGCTGAGAACCTGGTGTGGGTTCCAAAAACGGCGATAAATCCCAAACAGACAAACAGGAACAGAGAAATTGTTGTGGTGGTCTCGTAGATGTATAGGGTTGCCTCTAGAAGTATTTGATACTTGGGAAATATTAGGTGAAATTGTGTGAGCCAGCCAATTACACATGAGCTCAAGAAGGGGTCACTACCCTGTCAGAGCCAATCATACACAAGGGACTGAGTTGGGCATCAAAGGCACTTCCTAAAATGCTCCTGTGCCACGCAAACACACACACATGCACACGCCCACACTTAGAGTATAATAAAATGTGACAAGCCACGAGCTGAAACAGCATGAAATGCTGCAAGTCTTGAAATATTACTAAGACATCGCTATAAACAGGTTACATACTTGTGCGTGGGTGAGGAATAAAATTTGTGTCAGTGCTTGCTTGTTCTGTGTGTCCATATTTGTATGAGAGTGGGAGGAGGAAGGTCTGTCTGTCTTTTTAATTATATAGTTCTTGAGACCCACTAACAAACATTTTTTTTTCAACTTTGCGATGTTATGTTATCATCCAAACTGTATTCATGCTGCAAACACTGCTCTTAAAGGCTGTCAATGCGTTTGATCTGTGTAATTACTGTTTATACCCATCAACAGAAGGAAAGCTTCCAGCAAAACTTAAAGAGCCGGGGAGTAAAAGGAAAAAGAACTAAATCAGTTCAGAACATTTTTATAACATAAATCAAAACTCTAAATGAAATAGGGATCAAATCATTTTGGTTGTTAAAGATCAGTTTGTTGACCAAAAGAAATGCTCAACCACAGTTGCACTGATCCTGGCAGACCTGGCCGAGTGTCCTTGACTTACTGATACGAACAAGTTGTTTGACAGAGGCCAGATTGCAACGTTGTTGTTTCCTGTTGTCCTTTTGGTCCACTGCGGGACCCAAAGAGTTCTCGTCAAGGCCAAAACCAAATGTCCACCCTCACGGACTCCTGTCATACGTATCTTGACATGCTCTCCATCATCACATCAAGCCTGTGAGGGTGCTGGATGTGAGTCATAGGATTGATGTAAGACCTAGACTGTTTCCATGGAGATTAAATGAAATTTTTGACCCTGTATTTCAAAGTATTTTTCTGAAAGATTTCCTCAGTTTATTGATATTGGCAACTTATACAAGATACATAATTTATAGTGTAAAATGCATGGTTTGTATAATTTAAATGTGATGCTAAAAACTGCTCATCTTATGTTCACATTAAACCCTCAACTGAGAATCCTCACAAAAGATGGATGAGAAACAGCCACTGTTTGCCTAACTTTGCAGATTAACAAACAAATCCAAATAATTCAGCCAAGTCTCTAGAAGTCTGCAAAAGGTCTACTTGAGGTCCCTTGTGGAGAGCCCTCAACACTCATTTGGATTCAGATACATTTCCATCCATTTACAAGTCCCAGTGTGTAACATTTAGGAGGATCTATTGTAAGAAATGTAACATAATATTCATAGACATGTTTTCATTAGTGTACAATCACCTGATAATAAGAACTGTTGTGTTTTTGTTACCTTAGAATGAGCTTATTTAATCTACATTCACCGTGAAACATCATGTTTCTACAGTAGCCTGGAACGGACAATCTAAACACTGGCTGTAAATAGGGCTGTTCGCATTTTTCGTGAGTTTTGCAGACGTTTCTCCCACCAGTGTTGTTCAATTAGTTGTGATCTTCAACTTCATCTTCACTAGATACCACTAAATCATACACACTGGTCCTTTAATACAATTTTCCATTCACTACGGTTAAGTAGATATGAGCAGTTGGACGCATAGAGATATAGAGAACAGTTGGTGGGAGCCATTAAACCAGTTGGGTGCCATTTACCCATTGAAGAATAAGGAGATGCAATTAGATGAAGTGATTAAAAGAGCACCAGTCAAACCTCAAGTGAAAAACCATGTGGAGAAATTATGGAAAATATGTCATTTATGTTATTATGTAATAATTTGAGGAAGGTGTCTCCTCATTGCTCCACACAGATTTGATATTTAAGAATGATGGAATTTTTTGTCTATCCAGGAAGCTTTAGTAGATGTTAAAGTCATATAATTCATGTACAGTATGTCTGATTTAAGTGATATGATTCAAGTTTCTGTTTCTGTTGCACTTTGTTGCATTCTTCATTTAATAATCCACTAACTTTCCACCTTAGTCAAGCATAAAAACTTTTTTTCAATGTTCTGACTTTTTTTTTTTATATTTCCACTGTTTCCACTCAACTGACAATGTGCATTAAAATGTGGATGGAAAGGCACTTAATCTGAAGGAGGTGTGTTGACTCCTTACTTATTATTGCTTCATGTGAGCTCCTGAAGGAACAATGTGTGACTTCTTTTAGATTCTAAGTCTGAGTCAGAGTTTGATCAAATAGGACCTTCAAAATTATATGACCCTAAATTGTAGGAGTTACACAAGATGCAGATTACTTGTATAAGAAACACTGCTATGTTTATTTGTGTTGTATCTGGGTGAAGAGGCAGGCTCCAACTGTTATCTGGGTTGGCAGTTACTCTACTCTCTCTCACTCCAAGTCCAGCACATGTTGGAGAAGCACCTCTATCTGTTGAGAGTACTAGCTCGCTCAAGTATGTCAGTGGATGACCTACTGCTTATTTACTTTGCTCTAATTAGATCAGTGTTTTGGTTTAGACATGTCCCTCTTGTTAGATGCACCAAAGGCCGAAAGGAGAACCATATCTGCTCTCCCAACTGACATCTCTAAAGAAACAAAGGGTGGTAGACGCATTGTCTTGACTTTCTTCCTCAAACCAGACAAATTAGCACCGGTATACATAGGCACCTGAAAAATAGTGTGGCATTTTATTCCTCCTGCTAGAACTAAGGGCCATTTACTGTGATAGAATTTAAATGTGAGATCCACTTTAAACTCTTAAAATGTTATGTTTTTTTTCTACTTACAGTATGTGGGAGAGTGATGTGCACTTCAGACGTGTATTTATGGAACTCCTTTAAAGAAGCTCTCAAATCAGAAGATGGAAAAACTAATTTTGCATTTCAGTTCCATCCAAGATCTCACGTACAGCTGCACTTTCTCATATTCGTGCTGACTGCCTGCCCTATCCATTCACAGAAGTTTTCAAGGTTAAGGTCGGTGCTGTTATGCTCTGCTACAGCTGTTTGGAAAGTATTTCAAATAAAGAATGGTGGATCTTGTTTGGTTATTTAAAATCCATAACCCCTTAAAAATAATTAAGAAAACATGTGGTTTAGTTACAGCCTCACGTTACCTTTCACATAAATTATCCCAAATAGTTGCACACCGTGAAGTACAGAATACAGATTTTAACCACCACTATTACAAAGATGATATGTGATTTGGGTATTAAGTTTTAGTTATAGAGAAATTAAATTATAATGTTAAATTATTTTTAATTTAACATTATATTATTTTTATGTAGCCACAAAGGCTACATCTTCAATGTGTGCAGCCACATTGAACAAGGGCTAAAATGGACCATGCACAGTCGTTGCAGCACAAAATCTGTCATTGGGAAAGTGTTGCTTGTTACTGCTAGGAAACAACACTCGGAAATCCCAGATCTGAATCACTGCCAAAGGCTATCTGTCTACACATATTTTAGTCAGATCTGTTGGTAGCCTTTTAAAATATCTTGCAAACACACAAACAAGGATAAAAATACCTCCACCTTCCAACTTTGTTGGCTGGCGTCAGGGTGGCGCAGTGATTAGTCTGACTGTCCTTCGAGTGGCAGGATCCAGTTGAGTCTCTGGTGACAGGGAGCATTTGAGGTATCCTTGAACAATTCCATCTCTCCATACATACACACACTCTGCTCTGGAAGCAACAGACAACATTTTGGCAAAGACGAGGGGAGTCGAAGGAAGGAAAGCAAAGTAGGGAAAGTGATAGGAGAGGAAGACCAGGGGAGAAATGAAGGAGAGAAGAATAACAGAACAGACAGCAAAGGAAAGCATAGTAGGAGGAGAAACAGAAATCCAATATGTCAAAGACCCTGTTCCAGATGAGTAGGACAAGGACAAGAAGATGAAGGAGTGTGAGGAGAGAGGAGGGAAATGGAAGGTGCTTCCAAGTTGTTGTGTATTCTGCTCAACAACTGACGTGTGATGAAATTAAAATCCACTTCACACCCCCTGTATACTCTGTTTACTCTGTGTAGGTGATAAATAAGGTAGGCTACTTGTATATATTTTAAAAACAAAATAAAAGCATAAAAATAATCAGTTCCTTCTCATTAAGCCAAGGTGACTCAAACATGGCCTATTTCCTATCCCTGGCAAGAGATCACAGAACTGTGTTGGAGCTGAAGTGAACTGTTTAGTGTCAAATGCAGTTTTTTTTCCTCAATTATATGCACCTCCATTACTGAAGATGAGTCATGTTCATTAAAGACGCCTTAGAACAGTAGCTGAAGATATCTGTGGCAGATTAGTTTTGGAGTGTATATTGTTCTGAGAGTTCAAGGGGCCACTCAAGGATCTGAGGGTCTGAGCAGCTGTAAGTTAGAATTTATAAATAAAATGATGGCAAATGCTTTGAGCCTGTAAGATGACAGCTTCCTGGTACTTCATTTGAGTATTACGGTATGCACTATTACCGTAACACTTATACCTAGAACTAGCACTGTGTATAGATTGGTCAAGGGGAAGGGATGCCTTCCGCTTGCCTTGCACATCTCTGCATCTGCTCTCTCTTTCTGTATCTATCTTTCCCTCTCTTTTTCTACACGGGTAGAGAAGCATCATGTTTCCACCACCTAGGTGACAAGCACATTTTCTCTAGCTCACAGCCTTGAAGATAACCTCAAAAGAACAAACTGTCACCACAGAACGACAGGGGCCAGGTGGCAGGGAGGAAGTTGGGCTTATTTCAGGGATCTTTCAATTCCTCAGTGACAGGAAAGAGTCTCTGATGTGCCGCTTGCTTCTTTTCTTTGGATCTGGGCTGGTGTCAGTTCTTGTGTAAGACGAAGTGGGGAGAGAGGGGAGACATGGGGGTGAGATCAATGTGACTCAGGAATGAAAGTGCCAAAAAAGTTTTTTTTTCTTCTTCTTCACTCTGCAGGGACAATGTTTCTGCTGCATTTGTGTAAAATGTCATCAGTGTCTTTTTTATGTTCTTTTTAATGTTGGAAGTTAACATGTGCTGCAGTTTGCAAGTTCCAATTTTTGGAGGGAGTGCTTTAAATAAGCTGAGTTTTTCTCTTGCAAGATGCAGTCAGCTGCTCTGCTTTGTTCTTAAGCTGGCAAGAATCCCAGTTTTAGAAGAAAGTGACATCCATTTTAATTTATTTTGGAGTTCCCTTGCACTATTTCACTTAAAACACTTACTTTAAAATAAAATGATGTCATTGGACTCTAGTATAATAATAATATTAAAAATAGCTAAGTTTTTTGTAATAGCTATGATTTCTGTTGTGATTTTGATTAAAATCCAGTAAATCATTAATCATTAACACACCAAAATGAACCACAGACTCTTTTAGTAGATAAATAAATAAGCATACTTGGTGTTTCTTTTCCTTATAGCAATCAATAGTGATAATAAGCCGTATGTATTTGGCACTGAAAACTCCAAGGTTTAAAGGGTTGGCATGAAACAGGAGTACACACCTGTAGCTGCGTTCTCCCGTCCTTGTTAATTAATAAACCATTAATGATGAAGCTGTTGAAGACGTGTATTATTACCTAAATGCTCTGACAATTTTTCATTTTGGCCTCATGGTTAAAAATAAATGGTAATGTTATCTTTTCTGCAAAAGCAATTTCTTTTTTTTATTTCTTTTTTTTAAGATAATAATTTAAAATTGCAAATATGACATCAACTGATGTCGCAGGACATTTAAAACAAACGGGAAGATGGGCAGGAAATAAAATTGGAAACATGTAAAATATGTTTTAAAATACAGCTATGCAAATGTTTTATGACGAAATGCACTTGAATACGTTCGTTAGATATGAAAGACACACACAGTAAGATTAAGTCAGAAGCACTGAATGCAAACATAACTGTTGTTTGTTTACAAGAAAATTCCAGAGGGCATTTTAAATGCTGTGCCTCAGGGATCATTTTGAAGCAGCAGAAGGCAGACATTGGCGAGCTACACTACTTTTGTAAAAATGGCTGTAAATTGGTCTGGTGCCAGATTCAGAGAACTGCTCTCTCTCTCCATGCGGAGGACCAAGTAACAAGACAGCTTGGCAGCATGTTGCAGTAAACAGTCTCTCAACTAGTACAATATACATCAGACAGTTTCCTCACTGACTAGTGAGACTGTAGGCAAGATCCCAAATACCTCCCTGACTTTGCCACTCAGTTGTAGCAGTACAGTCATATTTGATGGCTGATCTGGCAGGGGCTCTTTATTTAGGAAGGTAGGGGTATACAAATGCTTAATGTCAAGTGTTGCAAATAACCATGGAAAGAACAGACACGTATTGACTCTAGGTCTTCATCAGGTTCTGACAATATGGATAACATACCAGTTATATACCAGTATACCATTTTTTGAAGCAGTTTTTAAGTCCTACCTTTCTTAAAAGTTGAGAACATTTATACTTCCATGACTACTGGGCAAATTTTGCTAAGGATGACTGTGTGATATGACTGAAAGCTCCAGAACAAGCTACTGGATAGACCTTATAGTATGTTTTTTTACCAACAAGCATGCTGATTAAAAATCTAACTTGTGTTTGTGATTTTTGTTTTTCCAGAACAATCAAGGTGGAGGTGTACGATTGGGACAGGGATGGCAGGTGAGTGTGATTGACACTACTGGTATTGAAATAGAAATCTTTGTCCTGCAGTTCAATATTAAATTAAAAAAACACCACCTTCAGCTATGAAATATGAACACAAACGTAAGCTACATTTCAGGAACCAATCCTTTTCTGCTATCATGAAGTTCCATCTTGGCCCAAACATCTGTCCTGTTATTTGTGCCTGATGGGTTTTTTTTTCTTACACACTGGTGTTTCTCTCCTTTCATTCCTTCCCCCAGCCATGACTTCATTGGGGATTTTACGACCAGCTACCGAGAGCTAGCTCGAGGGCAGAGCCAGTTCAATGTGTATGAGGTACGAATTACGATTAATTCCAGTCTTTTCACAGTTCAACAGCATGTCTGTGGGCTCCTGAGATCTGGAATCCCTCTATGCCACATGTCTTAGATCCCATTTCTGACACGAGTGACATTTCTATCTCTGACATCACTGTTGCACGTTTTTCCATTACTCTAGCACATTCCTTTGCATTGATATCTTCTACTCCCACAGCAATGAAAATGCATTTATTCAAGAGTTAAAGACATATTGAAAAAGTTTCCATACGTTCCTAACTCATTCTTTAAAGGGCATATGTATGATACAGTATTTGTGCATGCCTTCCCACCTTCCCCAAGCAGTTATACATCCAATTAAATATTTCCTCTGTCCCTGTTGTTCTTTTCAAATTTCAAGATTTATTTTGCCACAATAATCACCTAGATGCTGACACACATAGAAATGGAGCTATTAGCAGCAGCGTGAAACAGGATTAATAGGAGAACAATCCAGGGATTTAGAATGATCATAGCTATTTCTTAGTACTTCTCATGGGATAGCTTACTGTGTCTCTTAATAGCACACAATACAGCTCTGTATGCAAATTACAAACACAACTCTTTTAAACCCTTCACCGCAGAATCCACGGGTGAGGGGAAAGACCTGAAAATGCTATAGATGTGTCCTATGTTTATCAAAACAGATACATGTTTTGTTGAATTCACGAGGAAGTGTTTGCAAGATAAAAATCTAACACTTCAATGTCAAAATCTGACCATAAAGACGGACACGTCAATACCTTCATGCCTTCGTGGTCTGGTGGCCTTCAGCCGAAGGACAAATACCTGTCTTTTGGATGTCAGCTCCATTATACGCTACTCTTGATTCTTCTCTACCTTCCAGTGAGACTGGAAGGCCCTTTAGTTTGTGCATCAGCAGATTGTTCAGTGTGTCAGACAAATTGCCATCCCTCCATGTTAAATTAGGGGCTGTCACTTTCATGCCTAGCAGCCATAGAGAAACAAGGTAATGAGCTGAGACGTCTTTGGTCTCCGGATTGACATTTCTCTCTTGTTCTGGAGCCGGTAGAATACTGGTAAAGTAAATGTAAGTCTTGCAAGCTTATGTCTGTCTCACCCATTGGTTCTTTGTAGCCTCAGATTTGCGTTTGAATTTCCAATCTTGTCCCCTTTAATAGTGTGACCGACGTGTACAAGATACTTAAGATGAAGCATTTCTATCTAAGTGTTTATAAGTGATCTTACATCAGCTATGCTTTCCCCTTATACTAATCTGTTACTTCATGCACACACATCTTTTGTCACTTTCCTTCCTTCCTTAATTTCCCATCTCTCACTTCCATGGACAAACTCAATGTTCATAATACCAACAAACTGATGGCATGCGCTTTTCCTAATGCCACCCACATACCCGCCTTCATTACATTTGTTGCACCCAATTAGGAAGAAATTATATAGTAAAACTAAAGGGTGTAAACGTGTGTGAAAGAGGGTGAGATGAGTGATGGAAACTCTATTTTAACGTGTGTAAAAATACGTCAAAATTATAGGGAGTTTTATCTGCTACTAACGCAGTATGTTGCATGAATGAATAATTGTTTTTATTAATTTATTTACTTACGTTTTGTAACCACTGGCAAAACTAAAACTAACATAATCTGTATTTTCTATACAAATATGTATGTGTATATGTGAAAAGCACTTATCTTTTATACTAAATAATTCTGTATTATATTCTAATATTTTTCTTTAAAGACACAATTAATTAATTCTTCATAGTTTGGCTAAATTATGGCAAAAATGTGTGCTAATTTTTGATCACCTGTACCTCCTGTTGTTTATTTTTAGGTGATAAATACCAAGAAGAAAATGAAGAAAAAGAAATATGTCAACTCTGGAACAGTGAGTATGGCTCCAGCAGCAAACCCGGACTGGCACTGTGCCTCTTTCCTGCTCCACACCTACTGCTTTTCTGTTAAATCATTCCCTCTTTAATTATCATGCAAGTATTGGCTTCTTGGAAGATGCCAATCTGTGCTCTCTATGTTTTCCTCATTAATTCTTGTATCACACACCAACTAATTGGTAAAAAGCAAAAGAATGAGTTAAGTCAGCAGTAGTTAAAGTTTTTAAATTCAGCCAAAACAAAAGAACATATTTAATAGTTATAGCTGTGTGTATGCATTACAGTATATGGCAGTAGTGGAAAAAACTTTGGATGGCAGTTAAGTATGTAAATGGGACAAAATGAAAGATGAAAGAGCTGCAGAACTTGAAGGACATAAGATCTGAGAGATCAGAGTGGCCAAGACCAATGACCAATTGAGACACAATTTTCACACAACTTACCCAGCAATGAGGGCATGTGCAAGCAATGCATACAAATGCATCTCATCCTCTGGCAATGTAAATGAAGCAGTCATCAGAAACCAGCCGGCTCACATCTTGTACCGAAGGGAGTGTCAAGAGCTGAACCATGTCAAGATGTTGAGGGTTTAGGAGGAAAATATGATTACCTCAATGTTTAATCAAATATTTCTTGTCTTTAATTCCAGGTGACCCTTCTCTCATTCTCAGTGGAGTCTGAGTTCACATTCTTAGATTACATCAAAGGAGGGTGAGTGGGAATGTCTGGATACTGGAAACATGTTTATTTTAACAGGAATTGCTGTCATAAGGAGGTAAAGAGGCAATTTCATAACATAGTGAGAAGTAATTCTAAAGTGTAATCCAATGGAATATCAGTTAGGAAACTAATTATGTTTTATTTGATAGGAGGGTTTTTTTTCTCTGTTTCTATTATTATAACAAATGTATGTAAAATCTGAATAACGTTAAGATCACCATGCGTAAGGTACCTTCTCATTAACTGGAGGCCACTGCCAAACATCCTCAATCCAGCTACCCATGCTGCCTCACTGCCACTGCAGTAATAGTAGTGCCACTAAATAGTGGAACACACATATGTGTATATGTGGGCCATATAACCTAAACAATGAGCTGAAACGCTAAAATTAGTTAATCCAAATCATCATAGTCATTACAAGTGACCCCTTCCAGATATTCACATAGTCATCTGAGCAATTGTTAATATAAAAATATTGCTTATAGCAGCTTTAAAGGGTAATTCAGATGAATTAGCAATTGCAATAAGGGACACAACTACTGTAGTAAAATGAGAATGAAGTTGTAAAAAACTGGAGGATTAATGACACATGCGCAACTATTATAGAAAGCAGTCTTGATAGTAAATTACTTTCTATTTTAATTTAAATTCTATGTATATCTATCTTCTATCCTCTATCTTTATTACATTTTTTATTAAAATGCATATATCTCTATCCCCTTATCTTTCATAGTGGCACCATACGTGTTCCACTGCAACTTTGTTAAACTGATTTATAAGTTCACAGTAGGCGCTGTCTGTAGTATTTAAGTGTCAAATATATTTAAATGAGCCAGCTAAGGCCAAACTGTCTTCACAGTTACACAGGTACCAACCCATCGACCTTAGCTAAGTTTCCGAGCTTTAAGTTGACGTGTGAATATCAAGTATGTCTCAGGTGAAGTGTGCTTTTCAGGCAGGATGGGCTGTCCTATCACAGCGGGTAGACTGTCATGGCTTTTATAGGCTGTGGCAGAACTGACAAGTGTGACAGATTTCACTGACAGTTTCTGGCTTTGGCTGATCTATGATACAATAACCTAAAGGTTTAGTAGCCTCACTTCAAAAATACCATTCTAATCAGTCCCTAACATTACTCTGGCACTTACTGAGTCTCTTGCTCTTTAGAAAATGTATGGAAGTTAGGAAAGTGTGTCACTTAAACTGTCCAAGCTCTTTGCAGCATAAAAACAGAAAAAAATACCACATTTAAAAGTCTTCTCTACAAACATTTCTGCAATATTTGGTGTTACAGCTTTCTTCTTGATGCAAAATGAGCTCTGGCAGCTTTTATGTCTCATTTGACAACAACTGTAATCATAAAAGGACAAGGAGGATTTGGCTGTTCAACTAACTGAGAGGTATTTCGACTTTGTGTAGACTGAGGTGAGATGAAATGTCGTCAGACTGTAGATTTTTCCCACTTTCCAAGTCTGCAGCAAGGAGGACATAATATGGTTAGAATATAATGATAGTGGCGATCTCTCTATGCTGATGATGGTTCAGTGCACTCCTATCAGGTTAATAACATTTGCAACTTTTACTACCATAGAATTTGAATGAGGATGGAGCTGTGTTGTAAAAGGGAAAAAACTAAAACTACAAAGAAGTTTTTAGTATTAGAACAGCAAGAGTTGATATTTTGCCCACAGAGAAAATCATAATAACAGTCTCTATATTATAGTTATGTTAGAAAGCATCAAGGGAAAAGAGAAAAGAAATTAGAAATAGAAAAAAGTTAAACTACTACATAACTGCAGTGGCAAGAGTCTGCAAAATACTGACTTTTACCATAAAAAGCTCACTCAGTTGCAGGGAATCCACATCTAAAACCTAATAGAAAATCACAATGAAAAACACCACATTTTTTGGTGCAGATGTACAATTTGCAAACCAAGTTAGTAATATATTTAAGAGTCTTTACAAATTACTAAAATCAAGTTTAATTAATGCTAAGGTTAGCACAGTCAGGCTGTGGCATATTCTCCGTCCCCACCCCAAAATGAAAGGTTAATGTGAATCTTTAACACATTCATTTTATTGCTGTATCATTCTTATGCCTTCCTCTCTGGTGGCTCTCATACAGTAGATGATGAGAGGCTGTCATTCGGGCCCCCGAAGGCCTCGTCTCATTGTTGTAAATTAGCAAGAAGAGGGTAAAGCAGGGAAAATTGGATTATGATTTGCTCTTAAGTGCTGCATCAGCCTAATTGCTTGTTACCCAGCTCAGTGTCTCCTCGGTACCCCCTGCTACACCTTCTCGTGCAGATGAAAGCCAGATAAATGGAGGAGTGCAATCATTGAAATCTTCAAGAAATTACAATTTAATCGGTTTGTAATAACGTCATCATCATAAATAATTGCTATATTTTGTGTATGATCTTCCTCTGTGTTAGGTATTATCTTCTCTTGCATCAGAAAATGTGTGTATGTGTGTGTGACTGGGTGTTCGAGCGCTGGAATTTAATGAGGCCGGGCATGTCCATGCCGGACATTATTGCTGTTTGGTCTCTGTCGTTGATTTTTTTTCCCCCCATGTCCTCCTCTCCATCCCTCTTCTAGGACGCAGATCAATTTTACTGTGGCCATCGATTTCACAGCATCTAATGGTGAGTGATACTCACGGCAAAGTGTATCTGTGTGCATGGGGGACAAGAATAGATAGTGCTCTTTGAATATGGCATGTCCGATTTCAGAATCAATCACACAAACACACACACAAGCAGACGGTGCGGCCACACATACTGTACACACGTTGTCACCTATAAGTGATAGCTTTTCCTGGATAGCTCTTCCTCCTTAAAGGGGAACTTGGCAACTCTAGCCATTTCTTCGCTGGTTTTCACTTTTGTCATTGCATGTTTTCTCAACGAGCTCCCCCTACAGCT